CGCGGACGCCAAGGACCCGAGCAAGATTACGGGCGAGGATATCAGTCCAACATGAGTCCTTATGAGCTAGGACGCAGTGGATTTATACCAGGACGTGCTGACTCACTACGACTACAAGGATGGAACTACTCACCTCCGCGGAACTTTCAAAGAGGAAGATCACCGCAACGTGGAAGGAGCCGCTCACCTCCGCGGAACTTCCAAAGAGGAAGATCACCGCAACGTGGAAAGGAGCCGCTCACCTCCTCGGGACTTCCAACGAGGAAGGTCGCCGCAACGTAGATGGAGTCGCTCACCGCCCCGAAACCGGCAACAAGGAAGACCACCGCAGTCTGGAAGAAGCCGTTCACCGAGAGGAAGATCACTGCAGCGTGGGCGTTCGCCATTGCGTTGGCGTTCGCCACCTCGTGGTCGTAATTGGTCTGCTCAACGTGAGCCACGAGCGAACAACCAGCCGCCAAGTCATTACGGACCCCAGCCGCAAGAGCCGTGGCGTAGTGGACCATCACCCGCGCGTGGACCACTACTGAATGATTGCATTCGTCGAAATGATCTTCAACGTCGGAACTTGTCGCCAAGTCGTCGTGGAAACTCGCCTAGACACTGCGAAAATCGTGGGAATGACGGTATCGGTGGAATTCGACAGGTGAATGCGATTGGTCGAAACCAAAGAAAACAGTCTGATGACTCAGATTGGGTGGAGTGGATTTTGGAATCTGGCTCTCAGGCGAATGTATGTGGAGACTTGTCTTTAATTACTACCATTCGAGAAGATCGCACCAGTCGGCTTGACTTTGCCAACGGAACATCGGAACATGCAACTATGTGTGGTTCTGTCTTGCTACGCATTGTAAACCAAACAACTGGTGAACAAGAAGATCGCCTCCTTGAGGACGTGGTCTACACTCCTAATGCAAAGGTGAACATTATCAGCCTCGGTCACTTGCAGACGGCTGGGAAGTACAAGCTGCTGTGCTCAGATGATCAGCAGTCAGCTTGGCTCTCAAATCCAGGTACTTCGTTGAAGTTTATCATGCGAGACAATATCTACCGATTGAAGGCAGAGCGAGTGTCAGGAGTGATGGTGATGGCAGCACGCAAACAAGACATGGACAGCAGAAAGACGATGGAGTTACTGCACCAACGGTTCGCTCACATGAGTATGGACACTGTGAGAGAGCTGTCGAGTAAGCTCGATGTCGGAGTAAAGATTAATGCACAAGGTCTGAGCTCCTACGAGTGTGTTGCGTGTGCTGCTAGCAAGACTAAACGGATGACTTATGCAAGGATTCCTAAACGGAAGTCTGAACCGCTCGAGATGTTGATGATGGACATATGCACGATGAATGAACCGACGGAAGGTGGTGCAACTATGTTCCTGCTAATCATTGATGAAGCTACTCGCTTCAAGTGGGCGTATCTACTCGAACGAAAGAGTGCGGCTACACTGTACGTCAAGATTTTGCTACATCAACTTCGGACTCAGTTTCCCAAGCTCACTGTTCGGAGACTGCACTCTGATCAGGGTGGTGAATTCACCAGTAATGCGCTGAGAGATTACTGCAATGAGCATGGGATTGTGCAGCAGTTCACGAATGCTTACTCTCCTCAGGAGAATGGTGTGGTGGAGCGAGCGAATGGCACTGTACTGCCTCGCATCCGTGCTATGCTAACCGCTACACATCTTCCTAACATGCTATGGGGAGAAGCACTTCTACACATTGTTACGACACTGAATTGGCTACCAACTAAACCGCTAGGACTGGTCTCGCCATACAAGAAGCTGTACAGTGTGACACCCGATGTGGATGAGCTTCGGACTTGGGGATGTGTGGCACACGTGCGTGTCCCTCCTGAGTCCAGACAAAACAAGGAAAAATTGGAGCCGAGAGCACGAATATCTCTATTACTTGGTTATAGTCATGATACCAAGGGCTACAAATGTCTGGAATTTGAAGACTAGCTCAAGTCGTGACTGCCCGCGTACCAAACACGTGAATTCACCAGGAGTTCACCATTGACGGCTCATACGGAAAACAACTCCTAAACAAGGAAGATTACGAATGGTTATCCTCAGATGGCCAATAGTGATCCCAGGGTGAGGTAGCCCGCTATTTTAAAAACGTATCTGCATGGTATGGGGATTGCCTTCTTTTATTGTGAGCAGGCAATCCGCGACGGAGAGTGGAGCTTATTTGGCGCGGGGAATCGGGCAAGGCACCATCGCAGGAGAATCGACCCTTAACCGAACAAAATAATATATAAACACAATAATAAGACACAT